AAATGAATCGTCGTATACAGGATGCTGTCTATTTATCGTTTTAGCAAAAAAAATTTTTTCGTATCCCCCATTTAAAAAAATGGATAAAAAATAAAACTTCATTCAGATGGCCATGACTTCAAATCTAGATGTATTTTTCAATGCTAAACAACTTTTTAAAGTAACATTTCCCAAGATTTTTCAAAATAAGAGTACTTTACTCTTGTCACAAAATCAAATATTTGAAGGCTCCTCGTATATTACGTGTGTTGTACTGTATTTTGTTGGTGCATGTTAAGTTTTAGGGGATGCACAAACTTTTATCAAGAATGACTTTTTGTCGAAAAACCTTTAATAAATAAGTTTCCCATATGGTGCCTACTTTGGGGATGACACTGTATATCTCTAAAAACTTTATACAGAGCCAGGCATTTTTAACGACGGATATACCACTTCGATAGTATTGTCTATTTTCAATTTTGCCCATGGCGTTTGCGGTCCTGATATGTATCTAAAGTCGTGTTCAAAGTACAAAATGTTCAAAACTCTTGCCTAAGACTTATATATATACAGTGTTCGTAGACTCGAACAAACAAGTCACTTTTTCAACTTGCTTGTTTGTTCTACAAACTTATAATTACCATAAAAACTCTCCTATTTGCATTGTAAAATCACATTTGGCTCTGATATTCATAATGTAATTGTAAGATTCAGAGGTACACTAACGGCATCAAAGTTCAAAACTGAATTTTTCAAACGTTGTTTTTCACATCAAGTATGCACCATATACAAATATTTTCCTCTGGAACTCAAATGTCTATCGTTCACAAAATTCAAAGTAAAAGACAAGAAATACCTTTTTGACCTATCTCATCTTTGTTTTTTATCTTTATCGATGCTCTATACAGTGCATTTCTTTAACCCCCCCATTTTATTTTTTGAACGGGTCAACTCAAAAAATTGAAATTTGGGATAATGAAATCAATGCATGAATACTTCATTTTGAAATGAAATTGACAAATGAAACTTTCGAAATGGCGACTGAGAGCCATCTGGGAAAAAAATCAAATAGAAAGGGGGATCTTGTGACACATCATTTTGAAGCTCCTAACGAATACTTCACAATCCTAGAATATGAAGTCAATATCTTCACCTACTACAAAATGGCGGAATATTTAATCATTTCCTGAAGACAAACACATTATTATCGATATTTCTAGAAATATTCCTATTTATCTGCCATATGGCAATTC